TAGGAAAGGAAATTCGATTTAAGAATCTCCAAACGGCTCCGCCGACCCCGGAGTACTCTCTCGTGTGCTGAAAATGCGGTTAATTACGAGTAGTCGGCATTTACCGTAATCGTGGTCGCTTCTTCGCTCGTTTGCCCGCATCGACGTCTCATCTTTTCAATCGGTTGTTGATTTTGATGAGAACGTTGCCGTGCCGACTGGACGGTGTTAATACGAGTTCGTGCCGTGCAGCATGTACGGCAGCGGCAAAATCCAGTCCGACACGGGCACGTCGCATCGGACAGCGTGCAGTTGCAGCATCCAGCATGCCGTACGGCAACGAGTATGAACTCGGCCTTAGGTTTGTGGGAATTTTTCGGAAACACGAGAGACGATTATTGGACTTTCCGCTCGGAAGGCACCTCGAGGACTTCGAGACCGGCGCCAGAATTTCGGAACCGGGTGTCGGTGAGCGGGTCCGAGCACGCGATGCGAAGGAAATGAACCTTCCATCTGTCCCGTCTCGAATGATGATCTCGGAAGAGACAGTTACGACCGACAGGCACGGCAACGGCATTCGCGGGGCACGAGCGGGCGACCGAGTCTCTCCGGAGCAAATGCGCGTTTCGACGGGGGAGGACGCGGGCGTTTTGGGGGAATGATTCGCTTCGTTCGATCGCATCCAGGGTAGCGGATCCATAGGAAAAAAATAAGGAAAAGGATGGCCCGTACGACACATCTGGTCGTGTTCAAGTCCTTCGACCTCGATGGTAAAATTACAGTTTGGTAGATAGCGCCCTATCAGTAACTGCTTCTCGACCAAAGCCCTTGAAAGAAATATTCCTGCCAAGTGTTCCCCCTATTTCAAGATCCACTTCAACAAGGGGTCCTCTTGTTATACCAGACCTTGGGTATCCATTCTACACGTTCTTTCGATCGAGAAATGTATCAGTGCCATTGCAATAGCTTGTAAACAGTTGGCAGAAGGCAGGAAATATGCTAAGCAATGGATCAGAAGTGCAGTAGGATGCACGAGATATAACCAAGTTTTTGCAGGGAATGACCAAGTTCTTTATTTGTAAGAATGTAATCATGGAAGGTCTCCAGTATATTAAGCTTAATTCACTGCTGAACACATATCATGTAAAAATATAAAAAACATCACAGAATACAACTTAAATCCTAGGAGATGGTGACGTCCCTGGTGCCATCACACATTTCCTGCCGTTGAGGATACGAGCAAGCATTTCGTGGAACGTGCAAAAGCAAGGACATAGACATGGACATGGAGTCAATCAAGAGAATTGCAAATTGGTAAAGAAAAGCAAAAGTAAAAACGAAAAAGATATGCAGTGATTTCATGCAAAAGTAATTTAGGGCACGGGACTCAGAGAAGCTTTATCTAAAGACATTAGACATACACTTTATTCTATGTAAATCTTCACATCGCAATCAAGACCTGATAAAAAATTGGCAATATCCATGAGTCATTAAATCAGAATTGTAGTTTAGGGTCAGGTACAAAGCAGCATCTGTTTTCCAATAGAAACAATATTGCACTTACCAGTACTTACATGGCAAGTGAGCAGCAAATTACATCACAGACACTTCTTATAAATTTTTTTTTTCTATCCAAAGGGTGCAATATGGTAACCTCACTCAGTAACACAATTTCAGCCACTTCCTACAATATTATTACTACTTAACTGCACCCACTCAGAGAAACATTCAAATGAGATTGGCAGGATAAGACTCTCCAACAGCATTGGAATGAGAATAGGAAGTACTAGTACATCTGAGGCAGACACCGGTGATGTAAAACATAATGTATCAGTACCACATGTATCATACTTCTTGCTTAATTAATAGATGATAATAGCCAAACAGGGATAAGTCCCAAAATAAAGCTCTCAATATATCCATGACAAGACTAAGGTCATTACTTATCACAAAGGAAGAAAATAGAGATGCTTACAAAAAGAAAAGATCAGGATACCAATGGAAATGATATAAACTGCATATTGGGCTCAAGGGGGAAGGGTTCTTCCGGTGCGACCCAGCTCTGAGTATCACAAACACAGTAGACAGCTAAAACTGCCACTACCAGCCTTGGAGACAGAAGTACCCTGTAAAAAAGTTTCCCTTCTCTGAATTGAGGACTTTGGTTGCAGGCACTTTGCTCCGGTAGCCATAGTTGTCCAAATCTGCTTGGTAGAAAAAGCAGATGCTTCAAGTCAACAAGATCCCAAGCAGTACAGATGAAAGAACCAAAAGAATGGGACATACCATTAAGCCATTGCTCAGCATCCATGAGTTTTTGAAGAAGATCTGAACCATCAAGGGGAAGTGGTGGCTTCAACCCACCATAGTTCAATGGAAGGATCCTTTTGGGAACATGTTGATGAAGACTCTCAAGCTTTTCTCCATGGAAATGGAACTAAATCAAAGTTTATAAACGATTAGATAACAACTCCTATTTATAATTTCTCATATAACCAATCAATAGGTATCAGTATAGGTAACTTACACGAGATAAGATCTTGGCACTGAGGAAAGGCTTCAGCATTGAAAATAGCATGTCAACTATGAGGGGCTCATTCATAACATGAATTCCCTTGAACCGCAGAGGGAAGCAATCCTAGAGACAAGGAAGAAATATAAGCTGCAGTCCATGGATCAGAGATATCACACGTCAACAAGGATGATTCTTCATGACTGCACCTTGAGAACTGCAGCACATCTCTTGGCAAGAGAAGGGGTGAAATGTTTAGCATGATGAAAAGCTAGACCTTTGCAGTCTGTGATGGCCACAATGCCGCACACTTGTGTTGAAGTGTCTGTGCTAATATATTCCAAGCAAGTGAGGGCAGCACGAAACATCTCTTCCATACTGTTCATATTTGGGTCCCATAAACCTGTGAGATAAAAGAATCACACCATGATGTGTGAATTTTCAAAAAGAATGTCTTTCCTTGCTGCAATGCATGAATTGGATAAGGAACTCACCCATCCGTATTATGAACACATGCCTTCCTTCATCATCCTTATCTGGCAAGATATGGTAGATGTTCTGACGCAAAGCCGATGCCAAGAGAGAGGGTTGCAACTGAGAGAATAGAGTTGGGTAGGCAGCCTTCATTGCATAGTATGTTTTCAGCTGGAATTTATCCACAAAGAGACTAAACTTATTATGTCACATCAGCCAAATGCTGACTCAGACAGATTCAAGTTTCACTAAAATGACTCCATCGAAATGAAAATGAACTCACCATTCTTAGTGCACGATCATAGTCATACTTGCGAGCCCTGAGAAATCGAATGATGAATCTGTCATCCAGACATGCATTGAGGTTATCTTCTTCTGTAAGGGACAGATGAGAATATTATTCACCAGGTTAGTATAGGCAGTGAGTACAAGTATAAATTTGAAGAGAGCTGCAAAGAACTCACTCTGGATCATGTCCTTGAAGGCCTGAATGTCTCCATCCCGCCATGCAGGTTTCTCTTGAATTTCAATCTCCGCTTTCATGACAAGCGAAGGAGGCAAGTCTAAATCCAACAATCTTGACTCCATTGGACTAGGACTTGGCAATGAACAAGGAAGTTAGCCACCTGATATCTGAACTGGGGCCTATTTGTAGCTGAATCTTAAAATGGTATCTACAATTTCAAACTTGAGATCATGTCTTGAGGTCATGAAATCTACAATAAAAAAAGTATTTTCATAAGGCACCACTTTCACCCTATCCTGATGTCCTGGAAATATTGCATACCTAATAGCCTAAACATGATCAGTTCATAATACTTTTCATGTGGGTTTGATGATTTTTAAGTAAAATTCAATGGATTTTCAATCCATTTTGAAATTATTGCAAGATGACTAGAAGTAGACCAGGATCAGCTGTGTCAAAGTCTATGGAGAAAATGTAAAACTCACACAAAAAACACCTACTGAATCCTGCATTTGAACACTCTAGTCAATCAAGTAAGGCTAAAGAACTATTAGTCTACCCATGAAAGCTAGATCTGGCTACTATGAGTTTTAAATTAAGCAGTTTAAGGTAGATAAGGTAAACATGCAATTGTCAGTGAACTCAATGTATTGCAGTTTAACAAGTTGTAATGTGAGATTTATATTGTTATATTAGCAAACCAGAAATTTCAAGGCTTATCTATTTCATTTGGAATTCACTGTATAAAACAAACAATATAGCATGTAGAACTGTTGATAACTTTCACTGAACAATGGAATAATGTATATCTTGTAATACCAAATAAATATTTCTGCCAATGAAGAGAAAATGGCATGAATGGCATACCATTTCTAAGAATACAAATCTGAAGTTGGGACTAAGAACATAATTATAAATAATTCTCTTCACAATATGTCAAAGAAAACAAAAATTTTTGACCTGCAGGAGGACGTTTGGGCTAATAGACAAATTGCTGGAGTCGCTGAATAAATGGCTGTCATATATAGAATTCTATCTTCCAGCATGGGGGTATATGTGCAGCATAGTCAACGATGCACATGCACTGACATAAGGGAGTTCATCTGGAATTTCTCAAATGCTTTCTCTTGACAAGGCATGATGGATAGAAGACCATAATGCTCTAGATAAATATACTAATGCATATGAAAGTCATCCTCTTCCCCTCATACTATTCTTTTTTGTGTTCTCAGAATTCATGGCCTTTCTGACCAATATTACATTCAAACTCAATTGATCAGTAACCATGGCTTATTTGGAGAAGCAACAAAGTGAGGCTCACTTGGTCTGAGGTAAAAAAAAAAAAAAAAAATTTGGCAACACATAATATGAAAGAGCAACTTCTGAGTATCAAACAGGATGTGGTGGAATCCAATTCACCTTTAAAACTTAAAAAAAAAAAAGCCACAAAGGAAACCTGGATAGTGTTAAAATTTAACAGCATGGAACATAACACTACAAAACTACTACCCTTAGATGTTTATTGTCCTGGTCCAGCCAAGTTTAGGCACCGAGTCGCTGCAAAATTTTTCCAAAGAAAAACACGTTGTCGGTTGTCAAAAAGGATTCATGGGGCCTAACAGGTCCATGGTCTGACACGACTCAAGATATAGACCAAAGAGAGGCAATCCAAACAAGCTCCGGAAGCAGTCTTCCTCACAAATCTACGCCGACCCCCATGCCTGAAGATGACAGGAATGATGACGCATCAGCCACCTTGGGTGACTGCGAAGCAGCCCATTTTTTATAATCAGGAAACCGCAGAACATTGCTGCACGCCGCCATACTTATACCAAGGTAGAACCACGAGAAGTGGCAGCGGCGCGCGCTTTCCCGCTTTTCCCATCACCTCCAGTTAACCCTCATCCGTCCATTCAATAGCCAAGAGAATTCCCTTACGATTTCGTCCCAGGTAAGATGGATCGACAGACGCTTACAGACTATTGCTGGCGGAACGTTCTGGCCGTTGGTGGTCTACATTTGGCCAATGGTTTACACGCTACATTTATTGGTGTTTTTCTGGTCTTGGTGGTGTACAAGCAAAAACATGCGCAGAACTCTTCAAAGTGCTTGACACAAAGAACAGGACGAACTTCTCAATGCGTGCTTATATAAGTTTAACCCTCAGTTAAACACTCGGGTAATGTCTCTCTGTACACTTAAGAAAACAACGATGCTTCGGCCGCTTGAGCACCACCAACAAATGTGGGAGTATGTCCTGGTTAGTTCCAAGCATTTTCCTCAGAATGGTCTTTTTTTTTAACACGGACCACAGGCATTCAACACAGAACTGACACCGGTGACGGGAACAACAAGGTTTGTTTGGTGGATTCGCAGTTTCGTGCTAATATTCACACTGGTTCAAAGTGGGTCACTCGTCTGACGCAATGTTCCTGGAGCGACCTCATTCCGAGTGATTGAAAGTGAAGTCGCCCAATCACGACGTTTAACTACGAAGTAGCTCCTTTCGATTATCCTTTCCCCATCCAGTTCACGTTTCCAGCAGGTGCCAAACACCCACGGCCCGGTAACCGACATTCGTGGTTACGGTAGGTTTTTATACTTTCTACATCCGAATGATCGGATGAAAGCTCTTCCGGTGGTAAATCTCCAGCTAAGAGCCGACCTCGATTCGCCTTCCTCTTCCCAGGGGCAGAGCGTCGTCGGTTTCAACACGGTGAAACGTTTCCTCCCATTGACTCTCGAGTCATGCGAACACGCAAACACACACATCTTGGCGCGAACCAATCGTTCGTGATGTGGGAGACACGACCGGTCGGCATACAGGGTATTGGACATACTTGCGGTAAGTCCGATGCCCTTTAGTAATAGTTGTAAGTGTAATAATGTTGGTAATAACGTAGGGTAATAGTGGAGTAATAATTTAGTACGCAATTCCAAAACCTTCCAAAGCGAAAGATTGCAGCGTTTGTTGGCATTGCATGTGAAAAAGTAATCCACCCTGCAAATTGATCGACACGCTTGGCACCCGCGTCTCGTGCACCTTAAGGAGTGGAATTCTCAGATCAGCTGGCCTCTTCTCGTGGAATTTACCGAATTTCCGCACCCCCGGCGATTCGGTAAATCGTTCACACCCAGCGCATATGCTTACGCAAGAACGCGACGGCTCTCTTTCGCAGCAATCACGGAGAAAAAACTCGATGGTCCTCACGATGAAGAAGGAATGAAAATATTTTCGTGTTCTCGTAATTCACAGGTTAAATGCATTGTCCCAATGACATATCCATCCCAGACGCTCTTAGGATGAAGAGATTAATCCTCTCCCTGGAGTAGGTGGAAATCATTTTCCTGGAATAGTCGGGGGCGTGGTGTTGCCAAGGAATGGGTTGAAATAAGGTGAATTCAAGTTAGGTCTCCAAAAATTTAAAACACTGTTTCGTGTTCTAAGAGCTTTGGTGCGTCTACCACCGACGACCAGAATACGTGACAAATTTTATGGAACATCCTCAAAAATTCAAACGAAAAAGCTGGCAGATGAGTGGCTCGGTTGGTAGCTCCCTTTCCGGGGGAACCCAGTTCGGAATCAGCCAAGTCCAGCGTTTTTTTTTTTTTTTGGGCGTGCATAGGCCATGTGAAGGGAGACTCCCAAGAACGAGGCTTTCCTGTCTCTACGGGGGCCGATCCAGTGGCGTAGCAACTGCCCAAGCGACCCCCGCAGTTGCAGGGGGGCTCAACCATGAGACCCCTAATGTAAACAAATGTATACAAAAACATAATATAAAAGTAAAAATAAATAAGTAATTAGTCATCGCCCATGGGGGGGGGGGGGGGCTGGCTGACCCCTAATCCCGTCAGATTTCAACCCACATTAGTGGACATGGGCGGGGGGGGGGGGGGGGGGGGGGGCTGGCTGACTCCTAATACCGTCAGATTTCAACCCACATTAGTGGACATCGTGACAGACGCTCCTGAACTGGAAATCGATGTGGCTGTACCACAGGAATATCCAAAGTTTTGGGTCATGGGGGCCGCATAGCCTGTAGGGTGCGGGCTCGCGGGTAGCATAATCAAAAACTTGCTTTTCTGCATGGTAAATATCATGCAAAAAAAAGTCGTTTTCCTAGCTTTGACCTAGTTCAGCATGGTGTTTATTCGGAGTGGGCCTCATTTTTATTGCCCCTCATCATCCAGCGACAGTGGAAATGGAAAATAATGAAGTGGTAGGAGCTTTTGACAAGATTCTGCACCTAACCGCCAGGTTCGCATGGACTGCCAGGACTGCCGAATTCTCAGAGATCAGCTCGATCCTCTTGAATCGTTGAATGGAGACGAATTCCGAAGGTTTCCACTTTCCAAGGGCACCGTCGAAGACTTGATACTCGTCATTCTCTTTCCAAGGGCTTCCATACCGCCTTTAAACGTGTTTAAGTCGTAGATAAGCGTGTTCACGAAACTCATGATTTTCGGTGGGGCATATCAAAGAAAGACTTTCTTGAACATGTTTTGGTAAACATGTTCGTCCCGTCTTTAAACTAATCCGATTCCTTCATTGGTGCATGTCACCCAAAGTATTTGAGTCCACTTATCTTGAAATATGCGATTTCCTTCACTGATTCGAGGTTTTCTACGCACTGCTGACATGGCCACAGAAAAATTGAATCCAAACTGTAACTCGCAAATCCACACTGTCGCTTGGTATGGAACCACGGCCCGATTGATAATTCAATTCCTCGTGGAATAAACCAGTTTCGACATCGTCCCTGCTTGTTTGTCTTTTGAGAGAGACACACGAGCCCTACGGACGAGGCTGGTACTATAGGGTCCAGGGTTTTGCTACTATTCACCCTTCACCCCATCCAGATGGAATTGTAAAAATAGATAGGGATGTCAGAAGGTGCCACGAAATGTTATACATTATCTTCATGTGAATCTCATACTGCGGTATATTTGCGATGTCATGGCAGCCATTGAGAGGAATCTAACAGCTTGAAATTGTCAAGGAAATTTTTCCATGAAAAAAAAAGCTTATAAGCTCTTTGAAATGATGCATGCAACGCATCTTTTCAGCAGAATCTGACAGCCCTGTGTATTCTCTCGCCCTCACAGATGGCGCCTGGATGTCAAGTCCAGTTAAGCACCTCATAGTGCACTTGGTGCACTTGTGTTTACCCTCAATAAAAGTGTCAGGATAAATCCATATCCGATATACCCGCGAGTGAATTTAATCCTAGTCAGGCTCTACTCCGTTCATTCCACAGCACATAAAATCATTAATTCATTAATAAACATTTCATTTTTTCCCCCTCCAAATCTCCTTGCAGGCAGCACAAAAGCCCTTTGAGGGCCGCACTTGGGTTTAGTACAGTGGTGTCCAATAGGATTTCGATGCTCGCCAAACTTGTGGCGATCAGGTCACCATGTTCGCCACATTATACAAAATATATGCACTATCAATTTAAAAAAGCGCAATCTTTTGAAAGTAGGTTTGAGGTTGTGAACCGCCATCAATCAAGACGGTACACAGTAAAATTAAAATTAAAATGTGGCGAGTGGAGTATTGGACACCATGGGTCTAGCAGATGTAAGTGAGCCAACGCCAGGCGGCCCGGGTCCTCCAACTGCATGTCAAGGCTTGTTTGGTGCTCCTTTGCACGAGACATCCAATCGACAAAGGAAACTTTTCAACAGATGTAGTCACCTCCCAGATGAAGCGATTTATACTGTACTGGAGCAAGGACCATGCCGGCCGAAGGGGCCCTATTCGAGGGATAAAATTCAAGACCGCTCCTTCTCAGAATCAAACAGTATTAGGGTACCACGACGAAATCGGGGCTGTCCATCCCAGTAACCTGGCTGTTATTCCCGAAAACAAGGACGCCGCTTTCTGTGAGCCCTGCCTGTCAGCTGTTTGCCGACAGAAAGGACTCCAAATACCATTCAGCCTGGTCTACGGGCATACGTGACTGGCGTGGACTTTTACGAAAAATAAAGGACCATGCTAAATCAGCTTGGAAATTTGGAAACAGAGCTACTGCAGGATATCGAAAGTGCGCCATTTTTCTCTATCATTATAGATGTGATTGAAGACATTTAAAAAAAGGACCAACTGAGCTATATCTACCGATTTCTCATGCTTCAATATCAGATTTTATTACATTAATGCAGTGAATAGCAAACCTGTCGTGAGGAAATTAATTTTTTTTTTTTTGGGGGGGGGGGGGGGAGAATTAAGGTT